GTGATTCATGTATGGTTGAATATTAGTGTAATCTGGCTGCTAATAATAGTGATGTCCAGGTCATGGAGGCGACCAGGAACTCACAGGTTATGGAATCTTTATGTACTAAAAAGGGCACTCTCGTGTGGACCAGGACCTGATATCGTGGTTGGTGACTCAAGACTGCTTGAGCTTCATTAGTTCACATGAACTCATCAAGGTCAGTGTGTGACAGTAAGCCTGGTTAGGCAAGAGATTACAGTCAGTGTGGAGCAGGAGAGGATCGCTGTCACAACCTCGTCATGCACAATGTTGACTGTTCAAGACACAAAACCACAAATCTCCTTTAACGTTGTTTAGATGAACGAAGCCTGAGCGTGAGACACCAGACACAGGAAGAATTGAAGGTCATGTGATACGTTAGATAATTGAACTGATCTTTAGTCCAAACACGTCCGATCGTCAATATTGATTGGTAATATTGACAGATGTTACTGAGGTCAGCACGAGCAGCGTTGATGAAATGTGTCGTTGCATGAGTGTGTAATGTTGTTCTGGAAGCGAGATGTGATGGGATGGAAGTAGATGTGAGCAGGGATGATGATGTTGCCACACAACAGAAAGGACAAAGAGTCACTCTGCTTCTTTATGAGTAGAAGATCTATTTGATTAGGAATATCTGGATTGATGTGATCACATGATTTAGTCTCCATCTTTTATTCTTTATTCAGGTTGAGTGGTCTGCAGTTTGTCAGAAGAACACCTGGTTCTTCTCTGGCCTCAGCTCTGAAGCCAGCGCTCCCCTGAAGAGAACTTGGACCTGAGTGACAACAAGCTGAAGGATCCAGCATGTAAGCACGCTGTGGTATGTTCTTGCGTAGACCCAGACTGTCGACTGGAGATCTGAAAGGGTCCAACTCGCCATGTTTTATTTTCGTGAGTGTGCGTCGTAGTTGAATTACATCTGGATGGTTAATCGATGTTCGTTGTTGATCTATTGACCCTGTGGAGCACGATGACAACAGGAGGGTATTTATATTCATCGACTGAAAAGTCCTACCTTCCAGCTGGTGTCGTGTGAACCGGGACCATTACGTAACACCTGTTGGTCATATGTGGCATGGCGATCGAAGTGTAATGCAGAATATGTTGTGCGCCGTTCTGTTTCCGGGCGATGGCTGATTTGGCGTGGGTGTGTCGGGGTGTGGTGGGGGGGGGTGGGCATGGGAGATGTGCGAGGGGGGGGGGGCCTTCACCTTTGTCTCTAAAACCTCGTACAGTCTTTTATTCTTTAATTCAGGTTGATGTCCGCTGCAGGTTGTCAAGTATCGTAACCGCATGCTGTGGGTATGCATTCGCCGTCTCGGCCCAGCTCTGAAGGGATCGCGCAAGCCCCTCCCACCTGAAGAACTGCGTACCTGTAAGGAAAACGTCTCTGGGGCAGGATCCAGGTGCTGAAGCAGCTGTGTGGTTTTCTGGAGAGTGCCAGACTGTCAGACGTGGGAGACCTCTGAGGTCATGTCACTGTGTGTTAGATCTTCCATCTTTACCATTGCGTACTGAAACACTAACTACCATCTGCCTCGAGTGGTCTTTCAGTCTAAGAGTACGCCCCATGTAATTCCATGTTTTTTTGATGGTGGATATATTTGCTTGGCTCTGAGCGCTAATTCCTTCACACCTCCGCAGCTGACTGAGATCGAGTGGGGAGCTGGTAGTGAGTTCAGCGGTCGCTCCTCCACTTAAGGATCGTGTTCCTGTGACAGTGAAACATTGTTCACACTTCAGTCTTTCTGAGCTCTTCTTCTGTGATGTAATTCTTGCGTTGGAACATGATTTTCTCTGCGCGTTGTTTCTGTTGTGTATAGACGTCAGGAAGACTGCTCTGTGGAAGCCTTGTTTTCTCACTTCACTCATGAATGTTATTTCCCTCTGTGTGCAGCAGAACAGTGTGACATGCAGACCATCCAGAAGCGTCCTGCAGCTTCTGGAGGAACAAGAACACTTGTCTGGATTGCTGGGTTGATTACCGTCGTGAGAACTCAGCATAACAACACTTGAAGGCTACATACAAACCCATATAGGCAGACGCTGTTGAAAAAATTACCTTGTATGTCACTACTGTGTCATACGGATTACTTATAGTTGTAAGAATGACAGAGTATATTATAATATTAACACAACGGCTCATTTTAATGGCGGTGGACGGCAACGCTGGGAAATTTTGTGCTGATGTTGAATGATGTGTGGCATAGGCTGTACACACTCTTAGCCCAGAGGAAGATCATTGATTTAGGCATAATTCTGATTGAATTATAAATGACTTTTATCTCATCTTTATCCTCTTTGTTCAGGTTGAGAGCTGCTGTTTGATCAGAGTCAAGCTTGTTTCTTTCTCTGGCCTCAGCTGCTTGAATGTCGCAACCCTCCTCGACCGTGAGAGAAACTGGACCTGAGTGACAACAATCCTGCAGATCGCAGATGTGAAGCAGCTGCGTGAGCTTGTTGGAGAGTCCAGACTGGGGCCTGGAGACTCTGAGGTCAGTTCTCTGTATGTGAGGATCTACAGCTAATTCTAATGTCCTGACTAATAAATTGGAGAAATCTCTGTCCCTGCTGATCTTCTCAACAACTAGCTCAGCTGATGGAGCCAGACTTGGTGAGTGTGAAGCTTGAGGACCATGAGTAGTGCTGTGTTCCTCTGTGAAAAGTCGGTTTGGATGAGCGGATTGTTTGAGAGCCAGCACCTAATGGGCTTTTCAGACACAGCGTGACGTGACCCGCTTCCCTCTGAAACCCTTTTATTGTCCCATGGATTGTACCAGGACAGAGCGTTTCCCTGCAGCTGAGCAGAGTAAGGTGCGACAGCCGCCTGTGCAGAGACTGACCTCAGTTTAAAACTGAGCATGACAGTGAGATTAGGAACTGACAACACACAAATAAACTGTATGGAACATTCGTTTCAGAGTCGAATGAAAGGGAAAGTCACCTGTAGGGAAACATGAAATATGTATTTGTTCCAGACTGAGGTGGTGGTGAACTGCTGACCTCACTTGTGGCTCAAATTGAAGAATTCACACTAAAGAAACGACTGAAAACATGCCTGACAAACAACTTCTCACTTTTCTTCTGGACAGCATCTGCATCAAGTTATGCAATGACTTAGATTTACATCTTTCTTTTCTATATTGAGCATGGAAGAACTCTAGTTTGTCAGAGATCAGCTTGTTTTCTCTGCCTCACTTCTGAAGTTGCCAAACCCCTCCGCAACCTGAGAGAATCGTGGGACCATGAGCAACAAACCAGGCTGCAGGATGGTCCATGGATTGAAAGCAGCTGTGGCGTATATGTCGTCTGAAGATCCAGACTGCGTCGACTGGAGACTCTTAGGTCAGACTCCATGTTTTATTTCTGTGCTCAGATTAATCTTGATGTTAAAGTTGATGTTTGACGTTTACCGCAGGCGCGTAGGCGCCCCATATATGTGAGAGGCATACAGTCCTCGCGTTGACAGCTGAGCCCCCGGGTCGGACTCCACGGCTCTCATGGTACGGCCCTTCCTGCGATGTGCATTCCCTCTCTCTCTGCCTCCTCCATGTTCCTGTAATCTTCTACTATTCATCTGTTACAGAATAAATGGCACAGACAAAGCCCAAAAAAGTAACTTCTAAAAGAAAAGCAAAAGTGCCCTTCGTATTCAATCATTCTTGTCTGAAAGTGGAGGACGGTATCCGCGATTGGCCATACATTCATGTCAACATAGCCGAACTGCTGCGGGCAACTATCGCTGCTTTACAACAGTTCAATTTTCCCCCACAGACCGTGAGATTTGTCAGATTTTCCCCCACGTTTATCAAGGTTCGATTTTATTTTTTGCAGGAAGCAAAGGGTTAAAGTTATTAATGCTACCAGTTTTGCCTATTTTCTGAGAGGTTTGATGCCGAGAGTATTCATTCCTTTTTGCGCACCCACTTAAAATTAATATGTTCTCCACATAGATATGAGGTAGCGATTGGCTGAAGAGAGGCATGCCTCCGATTTGCCCCGTTAATGAATTAACCGG